CCCCCCCACACACACACAATCCCACATCTCCCTGCTTTGCCATTTGGCCCCTCCCAGCTCCATCCAGTTTTCTTTGCCATCCCTCAGCCTCCTCTCCCCCACTTCCATTCCCTGGCACCTGCCTTAGACTCCCACTCCATGCTGGCCAGCACCACACCCAGAAGGATAGTCACGGTCATCATGCCCGCCACCTGCAACTCATTTTGGGGAGCTATGTTTGGCAACTGCACCCCATGTTCCTGGAAGGACAGAACACAGAAGCCACAGAGTATTTATTGGCTGATTTGATGCCTCCATGTGATTTTTAAAATGATTTTCCCAGGGTGGTCAGTTAGCTCAGTTGGTTAGAGTGTTGTGTTAATAAGACCAAGGTCAAGGTTTCAGACCCCCTCACCGGTCAGCTGAAAAAAAAAATTCCCATGCTGGAGTCACAGTTCCAGGTTAGACCTTCCAGGGTCAGCAGACTTGAGAGAGCATGGAAGGGACAGGCATTACCCAGAGCATGTCTAAGAGGGTCTCCATGAAGCTCACTGTGTCCATGGCTATGGCATTGGCAAAGGCAAAGATGGTCCTGATGGAACCATCAAGCTCTGAACCTAGGCTACGTGACGTGAGGAAATATGTGCCACCTGAAAGGAGATAAAAGAGGAGCTGGTCTGTGGTCTTGTCAATTTCTGATAGGATTAAGGGCCCAAGAGATAGCAAGGTGGCAACAGACTCACCAGCCTTGCCATTGGTGGAGATGGCTAAGATAGACAAGCCAGTGATAGTAGTGACTGAAGCTGAGAGCAGGATAATGAGCCATGTGAGCTCTGGGGGGTAGGAGGGTTGGAATTAATTCATTCAAGCTGCTTCCTGGCATCCCTTCCTACTGCCCAGGAGAGCTGTGAACTCACACCTATGCCCGCCTGACTAGTGATCTAAGGCAGCTGCAAGTAGAGAATGACTCCCCAGATGTTAATCATGTGGTGAATCTGGAGAGCCGGGTGGTCAGACTCCATTGTGAACCCCAGCCCCAACCCCCTTCTCCCTTCCTCAGAGATACCCTCCAAGAACTCCTCTGGAATGAAGTGCTGTCTTGCCTACCTAGATTCCCAAACTTTGAGAATCTTGAGCTCCCGTCCATTACCATGACTCCCATGACCCAGCTGAAGCACACTGGGGCCTTGCCATGCCTGGCCCCAGAATTCTCTGGGTCATCTTGAGAGTGTGGCTGGGTGTGGGCCTCCTCTGTATAGGTGGAAATCATGCTATCCCCTGGCTGAGGCAGTACAGACACAACTGAGAATCCCGACCCCTCCCCAGCTAGCAAATCTGCAACCAGGAGAGTGGTCCATTACCATGACTCCCATGACCCAGCTGAAGCACACTGGGGCCTTGCCATGCCTGGCCCCAGAATTCTCTGGGTCACCTTGAGAGTGTGGCTGGGTGTGGGCCTCCTCTGTATAGGTGGAAATCATGCTATCTCCTGACTGAGGCAGTACAGACACAACTGAGAATCCCGACCCCTCCCCAGCTAGCAAATCTGCAACCAGGAGAGTGGCTAATGGACCTGGAGGTCCTATGGGGAGGAGGGCAGTCCCAGGGCATTAATGGAAGGAGGGTGGTAACCTAGACAGCAGATTTATCCTACCTTCGGGAGTTTGCTGCGGGGCATGGGTCTCACTGTGGTGGAACCATGAAGAGCCTCCAGAGATGGGCAGCTGTGGTGGAGTTGTCCCAGGATCATGGAGTTGACATAAAACTTGTAGCAGGGTCCAGTGACCTTGTTCTTGTAGGCAGGTGGCAGGCAGAAGCCAGCCTGGGGTATATCTCTGCCCGATTGCAGTTCCTCCACTTCCTGGTGAGGGCTCAAGATGTTGGCCACCTTGTCTTGCTTTGGGGAGGCCATGAGAAGAGTCCAAAATGTCTGAACTGGGGGAGAGGGTGCAGGTGCTGGGCACTCTCTCTCCTTTTGCTGGCCAGGACAACCATGGGCTGCCTCTCTTGAGCTGAACCATTTCGGGGAATACAGCCAACAGGCTAGGCCCACCCAGGGAACGCTACCCCAGGTCAGCCAAGGTACCCAGGCTACAAGTGGGGAAATGGAAACAGCTCCAGAAGCCAGAGGGGGTACTGTGCGGTCAACCCACATTCCCCCTTCTCCCCATGCGAGCCCTCTCACCTGAGTCCTGAGACAATCATGCTTTGCTCCCTGGTTAAGTCTGCTTGTTCAGTCAACTTATCCAGCCTGGACCAGCTTTTTTATAGGCCAGGAAGCCCCCCCCCCCCC